CCATTTGGCAATCGTTAATGGGATCATGAAACAAATGCACATACATATTTGTGACATGATGTACCTTGTGTGTGTGAAGTTTGAACTTGATCAATCCAGACATGTCTCTGATACGGATCCAGAACTGAATTCTTTAAAACAAAATGGTCGCCAGTCGGCCATTTCGAACTTGATCCGAAAAAAAAAATGACGTGCATCAAGGTCCTATTATGTTTAATGTATGTACCAAATTTGAACGAAATCCGTCCATGCATAACTGAGATCCGGGTCCGGAATGGTGAAAATGTGCCATTTTGATGCATTTTCGGCCTTAAAATGGCCGCTATTCGGCTATCTTTAATCGGATCATGAAAAAAATGCATGTGCATATGTCCCATATAATGTGTGATGTATGAGTGAAGTTTGAACATAATCGGTCCATGCATGTTCGAGATACAGGTGATCACGGACGCACAGACGCACGGACGGACGCACACAGGGCAAAACATAAGTCCCCGTTTTCGGACTCCGTCCGAACGGGGACTAACAAAGGCTATTCATTTCACAGTGTCACCAATGCTTTGATCTGAAGTTGGTGATTGTCTATAGAGGGCACTATTTATAAGAATAGGGTATTGCTCAGTCTGGAGTTAAATACAACACTGTAAACCACTTGAGCACTTGGGTAAATAACAGAGATATGTTTAGAGTCAGACTAAAGAATAAAATTATGCAACTTTCACTGCCTTGTGAACTTTGCAAAATATAAGTGGGTTATAGTAGTTTCAACTCCACAAAATGTACCAAAGACTTATGCTACAGGTGTCCTTTTACAACTCCCCATAGACGACAATGCTACAGGTATCCTTGGCGACAATGCACAGGTCTCCGACTGCAACTCTCCATAGATGACAATGTACAGGTCTCCTACAACTCTCCATAGGCGACAATGTATACATCTCATACTACATCTCACCATAGGCGACGATGTACAGGCCTCCTTCTACATCTCCCCATAGATAAAAATGCACAGCTCTCCTCCTACAACTCTCTATATGCAATAATGTACTGGTTTCCTTCTACAACCCGCCATAGGTGACAATGTATAGGTCTCGTACAACTCTCCATAGAAAACAATGGACAGGTCTTGTACTACAACTCCCCATAGACAATGTAGAGATCTCTTACTACAACTCTCCATAGACAATGATGTACAGGTCTTCTACTACAACTCCCCATAGATGACAATGGACAGGTCTTGTAATAAAACCTTCATAGATGACAAGGTAGAGGGGATTAAATTTTGCCTATGTGACCCTGTGCCTCGATACAAACATCTAATTGTGGAGTACAACCTTATAACAAACATATGGGGAAAATATCATGCAATTGTGAGACATATATGTAAGGCAATGTTTATATTTGGCAGAATGTTTGTTTTATTGGCATTGTCATTTAGGAATATATCCCGAAATAATGTATACATTTCTTGCATTGCACCTACCCAGGATTTCAGTTGACGTCAGCCATGAAAAGTTTTGGTCTTAAACGCAGTGACCCTTTTTGTCAGACAAAAAAAAAAATATGCTCAAAATTCTACATGTGTACTTGTAAAGTACAGTCACCTTCTACAGAATAAACTGAGTAATATCAATTCCCTATATAACAAGGAACTGCTTTAGTGAACTAATGAATTGATAACAAAAACCTTTCATGGTAGGTTAAATTTATATGTTTCATTTTCAACATTTACACATGTTTGTATCATGATTTGATCACATCCATTTCCAAATTAATCAACTATAATAAACTCAAACATCTAAAATGTTGTCCATTTCTCTTAACTACCAAAGTGGAATGTGAAGCAGTCCCATTGATATATGCAGTTATTTCAAAATTCGACATTATCGGCACCATTTAGAAAAGTCCTTCCACTTGCTCTGTCTCAGGGTCAAGGTCGATGTCGAAGAAGCAGGGTCTTGTGGGTAATCCAGGCATAGTGCTCATCTGTAGAAATGAAAAGTAATTATGCAAGTGAGGATTCAATCAAATTGTATGATACTGAGAACGGTACTTCATTTCCCCATGTGATACCAATTAGATGAAGAAAACGTATCACAACAAAATACTTACTGTTCCAACAAGGGGAAAGAGAAATCCAGCACCCACGCTAGCACGCACATCTCTGATTGGAAGAATGAATCCAGTAGGTGCGCCTTTTCTGTCAGGTTGATGTGTCAGTGAGAGATGGGTCTTTGCCATGCATATGGGCAGATCACTGAAACCTTGTGCAGTATACAGATCAACTTTCTTCTGTGCTTCTTCCAATAATTCAATACCATCGGCGCCGTAGATCTTCTTAGCAATGATGGCGATCTTTTCAGCAATTGGTAACTGAAATAATACAATACATAATATATCAGCATTGAAAGCAATAATTCTGTCGTATACATACTGCCCTCTAGTGGAGACATTTGATTTTCTGTGTTTTGATGTTTTAGATCCTAGTGGACACTAATTTATAAAATAGACGGATTTGATTGTTCTGTACATATTCAAATGAGGTCTATTTACAACCATAAGATGTATTGTGGGGCATCAAAATAGTCCTTTCATTTGTTTTTAAAGTTCACTTTCTGTATAGCTCACACTTTGATATTTTATAGGTTAAAATTCTGGTGCAAATTTATGTCAATATGTGGAAACATGTGACTTTATTGAAGAATGGTTTGAGGTCTGCTAATCCATTTCTGATCTCCTTTCATTGTTGTACGTCAAAACGGCTTTACACTGTCTCACAAAATATTTGTTAAAATGTGGTTTATTGCTAATTCTAATTTATTAAATAATTTGAAAAAAATATTATACAAAATAATATGAATGATTTATTGAAGATCTGGTTTTTGTGACTGGAGAGACTAATGTTTTAAAATGTGATAGACCTCTGGAAATAGGCTACACTGAGATCTATAGTATTTTTTTTCAGTTTTATTATTTCTGACTTATATATTCATTATATGTAGTAGGAGCAACTGATCTAACCTCATGGCATGATGCCAAGCGCAGTTCGATTTCTCAACATAAGTAAACATTACAGATGTACCATGTAATACGTCCGACTCAACCATGAGTGCGGTTTAGACCATGATATTCATGATTTGCCTTATTCTAATTTAATGACAAATATTAATGCGTCTCACCTTGAGTTCATAAAGGAATTGAAAGTTAGATGGCTGTTCACAAGCTTTAATGACCGCTTCAGCCAAGTTCTTTGCACCTTTACCACCTTCCGCCCAATGAGTCGATATCACCGCATCAAAGGCGCCGTGTTCTTTACTCAAACGCTGGACTAATTCTAGTTCTGGTAGTGTGTCTGTACTGCAGGGTACCAATTACAAAGAATAAATACCGGTATTATATTCATTAATTTGTAAATTGTAAGCTTTGAAAGCAGTAACTCATCTTATTCTTTTTTCATTCATTCATTTGATCATTATGCAAACAAGCAGCCTGTCAGCTGAAACAGCTCCACTGTTAGCAATGCACATTTCAATTAAAGAACAGAAGATATCATTAGAAAATGAACAATATGTATAGTATCAAAGCAATCAGACTTGCTGTTTGAAACACAAAGTCGAAAATATCACTTTTTACCAAAAATAACAAAAATATTCACTTAAATTAGAGAATTAAAGATATCATCACGAAACGAACAAATCCAAGAGAGGCACACCCAGGGTACATATACACCAAGTATCAAAGCATTCAGGCTTGTAGTTTTCAAGAAGAAGTCGAAAAAGTAAAACATTGACACAGTCGCTGACGAACAATCACTCAGATGATAAGCTCCGCTCTTGTCGACAGCAGAGCTAATAAAAGCTCAAGGACTAATGGAGACAATTAAGTTGACAGTCATGAATCAGGGATGCATCATGGTGGAAGATTCCAAAATACAGAAAATACTACACATGATTGTAAACCAAACCAACCAACTATAATTCCACAAACAAATGAAGATTACAAACAAATCATGTTTATGAATTAAACAAATCCATAGTAACGGTAACTCTAGAGAGATACTTACGCGAATCCATTTACCGCTACAACAACCGGCACACCAAAATACGTAGCATTCTCAATTTGTTTCCTCAAGTTACTAAATCCTTTCTCAATCAATTCCAGATTCTCCTCTGTGTACTCCCTGGCTAGAGGTTGACCAGCTGTCACCTGAAACAGGCAACAATGCATGACAGTGTTACTCATTATATCAAATACTGATATGAAGTTACTAAAATTAAACAAAAACAATAATAAATACCACTGTTAAGGGTGAAAACAATAATAAAGTAATCTTTTTATGGAAGGAAAACAAGCTTGCAATCTAATTTTTCAAAATGTCGGGGCTTGAACTTAATTTGAAGAAAAGAGTATTGGAAAAGTATTAGGAAAATCTATATTTTTCAAAGGGCATCACAAGACAAGCTTTAAAGACATCAATGCAACTGCTTTCAACGCCTTGGTGAAAATCAAAGTGTTTAAAACTCGTGTGGTTTTTTTTATTAACAGTGGAAAAGTTTATATCTCTCTATTAAAATTACATGTTGATATATAATGTAGGTTATGCTACCGAGTAATAGTGGAGCAAAAAAATTAATGAAATAAGTAATGCCTTAAATTGGCTGCTATGGACATTATCGGCTACTAGATACACACCCAAATTATGGGTGTGATAATTTTTTTTTTTTAGAGAGGGGCCACCTAATCCCCATCATAAAGATCGATATTCATTGGTTGCATTTGAGCATTTTACCGTTCTCTGGTTGGTCATTACTACATCATACAAGCTACGCACTATACATAGTTAAAAACATAAACATTGCTACTGCAGAACTAATACTACTTTATTGTTTAATTATGACCAAACACTGAACATAATTTTGGCAATATTTTGAATTTATTTACTTGCATGTAAATATGCAACTTGTTTATCAGATTTCTAAATACTGGCAGCTATTAATATGTTAACATTAATTGATGTGTGTGCCTCACTACACATGTTCGCTGCTCTAACAACAATGATGATAAAACATAATGACCTACTGGCTGTGTGTCATATGTTATTTCATTAATAGAGACAATACATGTATATTTAATAACAGCAGCTGTGCACACACGCACATGTATAAAATGTAAACCAGTGTGTCGTCGGTCTATACTAAGCTTACTACGAGTAGACTTACCACTGGACCACCACCATGCATCTTGAGAGCTCTGACTGTGGCTACTAATACCACAGCATTTGGAACCAGGCCAGAATAACGGCATTTGATGTTAAAGAATTTTTCCATACCAATATCGGCGCCAAATCCGGCTTCAGTCACTGTTAATTGAAGCAATATAAGGAGTTATGCGAGTGAAAGAAGACTTGCTAGTCAGGAAATAATTACAAACAATTTCTGGGAAGAGGGTAAATTATTACAAAGTTAAACTAAATAGTGAATGATATTGAATGTTCCGACATGAACAACAAATATTTGGAGTAGAAAACCACAATCTACCAAGTGATCAATCTGTAAACAACATTTGTTAGTGCTATATAACCAACTCTAAAATCATCAAGAAGCATCATGAATTTTTGACCCCCAAAGTAACACTACTCACCTACGAAGCCTTCCTCTCCAACCAATTGCAGTGCTATCCTATCTGCTAGGATTGATGAGTTGCCGTGGGCGATGTTTGCAAACGGTCCCGCATGAACAAATACAGGATTACCCTGTGATGAAACAGACAATCATCTCTCAACGTCAACTTCATATGTAATTAAGTTCAGTAGACAAGTGTTAAATTACTACATGTACTACTTAGTATATGATAACTGGACACAATTGTTATTTCTTACCTCCAGTGTCTGCATAAGATTTGGTTTGATAGCATCCTTCATGAGTACAGTGAGGGCACCCCCAACTCCAATATCATCAGCAGTCACAGGATTGCCTTTATTGTCACTGGCAATAACCATCTTACCAAGTCTTTCGCGCATGTCTTTCAGATCCGTGGTTAATGCCAGTACGGCCATGATTTCACTGGCGACTGTTATGTCAAACTGGGTTTCACGAGTCTTGCCTTTTTCGGTGGGTGACTGTCCGATAGTAATCTTTCTCAAAAACCGATCATTTGTATCCATAACTACAAAAATTAAAAAAAAAGTTTGCAAAGTGGTGAAAATATAAAAACTGCTTTTGAACCATATGTAATATAGATCTCAATCCAGTGTTCTATGGGTAGAATTTTATGTTGCTAAAGCAAATCTACACCATACTCACCTCGCTGCCAAGTAATGGTGGATGTGTCAATATCTAATCTGGCAAATTTGTTGATTTCCTCTTCCGTGAGCTCATTGGGATCGGTCTTATCTATTCCTAGTTTCTGCAAAACACAAACAAAACCAGATGAAAAAAAACCCATTTCATTCTTTTTTTTTTCAGTTAAAAGCCAATCAATGTATCAATCAACCAGCAGTTTTTATCGATTACAATTTGACAAGAAGGAAATGATATCCTATGTATGCATGTCACGTGTTTTATAGTGTGTGAAGTTGGATAAATGCAGTCAACTAGTTGACTAGTTAACGCATAAAATCATTTACAATATTCACCATTTGCAAGATTCATTTGAACAAAATCTAATAAACTACAACAGCTATGGATGGCTTCAGCAGTACTGGTCAATGCTTTCACACTACATCACACAAAATGTTCCGTACGAGAAGAGCTATGGGTTTATACCTTCAATCGTTTAAACTGAATATTCGAGAATTCTCGCTTTCCTTTCTTTGATGGTACCAGTCTTCCATACAGCGCTTTATCAGACTGGGTAGATTCGTGGAACATTCTTGCATCAATGGCGGCTGCTAATAGATTATTAGCGGCCGTTACAGCGTGTATGTCACCAGTTAGATGTAGATTGAACTGAAAAATATACATACAGTGTATAAATGTTTTATGTTTCAATAAACCAATTATAACCTGAAATAGCTCTATGTTACTTTACAATTTTCATTATTTACTTTATGTGCTTGATCACATTATAGAACTGCTGGACGTCACCAAAACTTTATTACCAAGATTCAAATACATCCTAAGCACTGGATGTTTACATAGAGTGTGGAGGGAGAGAGAAGGCGGATTGGCATTAAATAATTGCTATTTGACAACTTACCTCTTCCATTGGAATAACTTGCGAGTATCCACCTCCTGCAGCTCCACCTTTAATACCAAACGTGGGTCCTTGCGATGGCTGACGTACACATGCAAAGACATTACGGTGCAATTCAGCTCCTAATGCTTGTGTCAACCCAATAGTTGTGGTGCTTTTACCCTCGCCTAGCGGGGTTGGTGTAATGCTACAAACACAGTTGTTTTACAGTCAGTTTACAACCTCAACACAGTATTACACACAAATATATTACCTCATGAAGTTAAAATTAAAAATAATGCTGAAACTTAGTTGCAATACATCATGTTTTTTCTATAATTTCTTTGTTAACTTGATCATAACTGGAATGCACATTATCAAAAGAACCATAATAAGGCTGAATGTATGAAGCACTCTCGTTTTGAAAACAACACCCCCCCCCCCGGAGTATAACATGTATATTGTATAATTAGACTGGACCGTCAACAATATTGCATAAATTAATGTCATGGCAGCATAGTGGCAATTTGTCTGCTTTTGATACACAAAGTATCAATAAAATTAAAAGAAATTGACTACATGATACATGTCGGTAACAGTTGACAATAAGTACTAAATCATTCCGATTTCATTACACATGGTAGTGATCATGACAATCCTTTCAATTAGAGATCAAGTATTCCCCCTTAAATATAAATCAATCACACTATTGCAATTTCATGGCAACATCTTCTTGACGATTCAATTTATTTTTTACACTTACCCGGTAACTACGACATACTTTCCATTTGGTTGGCCTTTCAGTCTATCCAACACTGACAAGGATATCTTGGCTTTGGTTTTCCCATAAAAATCAATCTCTTCAGGCAGTAAGTTCAGCTCCTTGGCTAGTTCTTGCACATGTTTTGGCATCTGGGACCTGGATACCGCAATGTCAGATGGTACAGGATCCTGAAGTTCCAGTGGCAGATATCGTATGTTCCATTGCACATTCTGAAGTGTAAAAACATGGTATTATTAGCAGGAAATGGCAACCACATTAAACTCATATTGTAATCAACGTAATAAGAAAACACACAAAATGCATATGTAAAATACAGCAGTAGTGAAAAACTGAAAGCAGCTCATGAGAGCAAACATTAAATGTCAGAATTCTGTGTGTGTTTGTAATTTATATATAAATTGCTTGCTGATGTTTTCATCAATAAAATAGTCTTTTGATAAAAGAAAACAGTTAAGTTATTTACATATTTCTTACAAATTTCAACAAGGACTTATAAAAAAAAAGGCATACAAGAGTCTCGTATGTAATAGTGATCACCATTGCAAAAGTTGGCTTGTGAAAGAAATAGTATTTGTTTTGTGGGTTTTTTTCTGGTGTACTAGTGGCTTCAGTGAGCATGTACAATGTTTCTTTAACATTTAACAATAACTTCATTCATTTCCTCGATCAAACTGTTCCATGATTACCAAAAAAAATTTCAATGACACATGGCACTCGCATTGAACTCACAAACCATATATTGTTATGACTGTTGTATATGCTTATCTTTATAAATCCTTGGTATTGGTTGCATGAATATTTAATTTCATTAGTTGTGCAACATATTATAATGTTTATATGTAAGTTTCTGTCAATGCTGATCAAATGAGAAATACATAAAACTAAATTTGATGTAGTCAGCATCTTTGTAACCATAACATAAATTGGATTAAATATTTATGCAAATTACCAACTTAGTATGCAAGCAAAATATATATATACACTTTGAACCTTGGCTGTGTCTTTTTTACACTTATTTTTTTATCACTGACAAAAAGCCACGTTTCAGGAGATACACACGGAAGCCAAAAACCTGCAGATGAAATTGAAACAGGCAAGCTGCAGCATGTGTTTGTTGAAATGGTTGAAAGGAAAAGCTGTTGTGATAAAAAGCACTTTACCTCGGATGGCAAATATAGTAATTACTAGATAAAAACATTTATCGTGTAGTTTGGTTCAGAACAATTGCTCAGTATTCCACCTTGGAACAACAGAGTCGGGGGTAAATGAGTCAAGGGCTTGCATGTCGTTTCCCATAAAACATCTTGTAAAACAATGTCTCATGTTTCATTATGTTACAAATATAAAACGCTGCTGAGTCACATGTTAGACCGACAGCATGACAATATTAATTGTCTAGACTTGCATGATTGGATACATGAACATGTCCAGTGCTCGGTTTATTCTAATGAGACTTTATGAACATCAAACAGTCTACCCTTGAAACACAGCAAAACCTGTCTGAACCAAACACCAATTGCTCTCAAAAAATTGTTCAGCTGGTTTTTAGAAGTTATTTCTAGAAAATATGTAAAAAGAGACTGGAAAGGGAGTATGGGTTTAGACAGGTTTACTAAAGTTACACAATGAAAAACACATTTTTTTTACAGTTACTTCACCAATTAACACACCATGTTGGATGGTAAAATACTTTTGATACATGCTAAGTAGACAAATTTACAAGTCTTCTCAAAGTTCATAAATATTTAGAAAGATTTTCTTGATCAACTAGCAGAAAAAAGGAAGTTTATCTTGACAATAGGAAGATGACTTCATGCCAATTACAAATGCAAAAAAAAAACACACAAAAATGTATTTCCGAGGTAAAGTGCCCAAAGAACACATGAAATGCATGCCAACGGGGAGAGTTGTATTAATAAGCAGGAGTAAATAAATAACAAATCACATACCCATTTATGTGTTTGTTTGTTGTTACTTCATTTTCCACTGTCTTGAGGTGGATTACTTAATCCATGCAGTAGCGAGAACAAACAATCTGCATTCGTTCCATAGCTTGTTTTTTTAGGATATAATCGTAGGAATTTGGCATTGAAGTCAGCTTACTAAATCACAGCACATGTGGTTGATATGATTTTTACATGGTTTGAAACCAAAATACAGGAAAGTTTTGAGTTTATGTTACAGTTTAAGATACTGTACATGTATAGGCTTATTCAATGACAAGCAAGCATACCACAAATGATCAAAATAGCAATTGACCAGTATCCAAGGCAACTTATATTATCCGCACAAATTCAAATAGTCCACCATTTAAATGGGGTACACTAATGACACCATAAAAACTGGTTATTGTCGTCACTTGGATACAACAATTACTGCACTAAGCAGCGAAACGTGATACACTAATAATTCATAATAAACGCATTTACAAATATTAATCTGATTTAAAAGCATTTATTTCAGTATATCAACCCGTTGTAAACACTACATATATTGTTAGTGTTTTGTAATTTGCATAGCTGTATGGGC